ATTGGAACATTCAATTCGGAACTATCACAAGAAGCGTAAATAATACAGCTACGCAGAGATGCAATCAAAAGAGACTGATCTGGAGCATAATACCCATCTAACGATCATGAAAAACGATAACACACTTTCCATATTGATTATCAAAGCATTTTCCATGTGATGAGAAAAGTAAAGGTCATGCACCGTATTTTTATGATTTGAACAACTATTGCTAACTTATTTTGAAATCACATTGGATTAAACTATGTGGAACAGGAAAATATGCATGTCATACATTTCAACACACAGATGCAAACACAAGAGATAAGTTTTCAGAGACAAGAAATCGTACCGCATCCATTCGGATAAAGGGACTCGCGGTGAGTAACCGGTTTTGCACGCGGACGGTCGGTACCGCCGGGAGAAGAACAATTCAAAACATTCAACACACACAAAATCAAGAGCGCAAGGCACTCGGTAACCTGAGTTTGGCGGAGGTTCATATTTACAATACGAGTGAGTATCTCGCCGGGTTCTGCACCCGATGCTGGAAAGACAATGTGACTGAGAAACAGCAGCAACTATAGAGAATTGAGATTATTGCGGACGCATCGGGAAACCTTCCTGCTGCAGCCTTCGCATCATGTCCGAGCTGGCCATGAGGCCGTTGGCCTGCGAGGAAGGGATTAGGGCAGGATGGAGTCCCAGATTGGGAGGAAGGCCGGCAGACATGGCGTTCGGGGCTTGTAACGAGGGTGGCGCCATTTGAGGCATGCTCATTTGATTGGCCATCATCATTTGCATCATGAGCGCTTGCAGTTCAGGACTGGCTAGGCCTTGTGGAGGGCCCATCGCGTTACCCATGGCGCCAGCCATCTGCTGCGCCTGCATCATTTCCATTTGGAATCGTTGCATATCAGTAGGCTGTTGAGTTGGCATAAAAGAGAGGCCGCTGGCGGCGGCGGCTGCTGCCATTCGCTGGTCCATGAACGGCATCATTGGTATGCGACCAGCAGCTGCTAGTTGACGCTGCATCTCCAGTTTCATCATCTGCAGAGAGAAAAAGCTGAGAAACAAAAAGCAAACGTAAACTCAAACAAAGGGATCATGGATAAGTGTGTGTTTCTTCACAAGAAGACAAAATCTCAAGAACTTACATGCTGTTGTTGAGCTGCAGCATGTTGCTGGGCTTCCATCAGTTGTGCTTGCTGCATTTGCTGCATCATTGCTACGGTCATTGGGTCCATACCGGAAAACATGTGCATCTGCCCGTTCATGGCAGCCATACGCGACAAATCAGCAAGGCCTCCCGGGATTACTCCATTGAAGTCAGGCTAAAAAAACATAGCACTTATTTCATGTAAAAAAGCATGCAATAATGCTGTATTTACCTTTTTCGGTTGAGTAGGTGTGGGCGGCTGCTGTTGAGCAGCTGCAGCCGCAACAGCAGCAGCCTTCTCCTTCTTCTCGCGTTTTCGCTTCGCCCATTCACAATCGCTTGGCATACGATATGACAAATCAGTTCTCGCACACATCTGGCCGCAAGGCCGCACGATTGACTGCACAAATATCGCATTTTTTGAGGTGCACGCCTCCTGAAATATGGATTTGGTGGCGTAGGCTGATATCTAGCAGAATATTAGACGAGATGTATAGAAAAAGCAAAAAAACATTGTAAAATCACATACCTGGTCGCCATGTTTCCAAGTGTTGTCATCATTGATAATATTCGCCACATTCTCATCGTTCTCATCCGAATCCATATCATCGAACAATTTCTCCTCTTTCTTGGGTTCCTCCGCTCCAGTATTCTCAGGTTTGACCTCCTCAACCATTTTCGCAACTTGCTCTAACTTCTCCAGCGGTTTTCCGGATTCCAATTCTTTCTTCAGCTCCGACGTTGCCTGATAATACAAGAACTATGTCGAAGTCAATCACTGGCTAACTATCATTGCAAATTTTACGACTTCTTATGAGCAAAACAGTATGTGCGTATAATTACCTCGTTGTTGACAGTCGGTTGCGGTGGTTCCTCATGAACACTCGCGTCCAGCTGATTTGTTTGCTCGACAGCATCCTCCTC